TTGGTGACTATAGTGCCCCTTTAGTTTTTCAGCAATTTGAGCTACAGTTGCTCTTCTATGTGATCAGACCAGAAGGGCTAGCCTTTATTCCCCAAACCTTGGGCACACATGATCTTGATGCCGGTTCACCGGTTGTTCTTCTTTGCACCACTAATCACTCCATACCTGAAACACCCTACAAGACTTGCTGTTTTGGAGATGTTCTGAACCATTCGTCTAGTCATCACTATTTGGCCCTCGTGTCAGGATTACTAATTGATCCAGCATGTAGAATTGTATCCCACCTAGGACTAAAAGGTAACGTTTTACCGGGCCTTAGAATGGCCGGACTTAACGTACCAAAGAATAGTCAGGATACTGGCCGAGGTCGGGGGGCACAGAATGGGACACAACGATAATGGAAAGCCAGAAGTCAGGGATACCAGAATACAAGGAAGTCAAACAAAGCCAAAGCCAAAGCCAAAAACCAGAAATAAAAACGCTCAGTAACACATTCTCGGACAACCACTAGGGAAACTATGACAGGGCAATGAGGAAAAGTAAATTTGTGCTTAAATAAGTGCTTTACAGTTCTGATTGGCTGAAAACGGCCTTGGACCCCAAAATGTGTGCACGCCGACGTCGTCATTAACATGGGTGGACATGGGGGTATAATTTGGTGTGGATCCGTAGAGGCCGGCGTCCATTAATGTGTTGCAAGAGTCAGTTATACAGACGCACGCCCACTGGGCGCAAATACCGCAAGGTGAGGAGGAATATGTTATATTACCCCCCACCTGAAGACCGCCCACCGGTGGGCAGGACCAGGTTTGAGAAGAAATTTGGCATAGAAAGAACAAATTTTGCCGCCAGCATGGATGTCAGAGGCCGGAACACAAGAACGTTCAGCAGGCCCACACCCCCTCCAATCAACTAAATACTGTAAGGTGCCGCGAGAAAACCTGGAATCAATTATGGAGGAGAAACAACCAATAGAAGAGGGGGAACATTTAGGACAGTATATCTATTGCAAACAAGTGGTTTGAGCAAAGAAACATGAAAGGTATTAGGAATCCGCAAGTAGACAGGGAGAGCCAGAAAATACGAAACAGGATTAATCCTCCGAAGGATACAAAATGGACCAAGGAATCTAGGAGCAAGCTTCATGCTTGATGTTGAGCGATGATAACCACTCCCTCTCACCCACTTGGTTTATCAGCATAAAGTTTGAAACGGTCAGCCGCGGTTTCTAGAGCTAAGTGAACTTTGATCCAAGCTTCACGAATGGAAGCAAGGTGGTCCAAAGCAGGGATAGCTGTGTCAGAAAAACGGCCAGCAGAACAGTAGGATGACGACCGTTAATAATAAAGAATGGGCTATGTCCAGAAGAGTCATGGTCAGCATTGTTCCTAGCAAACTCGGACCAGTGTAGTAATTCGGACCAATTATCTTGAGTGCTATTAAAAAAACAATGCAAATATAATTCCAATGACTGGTTAGCCCGCTCAGCCGTGCCACTGGTTTGGGGTTGGTAAGAGGAAGAAAATGACAATTCAATGCCCAACTGTTTATTGAAAGCCCTCCAAAACCGAGACACAAACTCCTGTCAGATACAATATTGTGAGGAATGCCATGCAGTCGGATAATCTCACGTATAAAGATAAAAAAACAGGTCTTGTGAGGATGGCAATTTTGTGAGCGGAACGAAATGAGCCATCTTGGAAAAACAGTCAACCACCATAAGGATAGTGGCATAGCCATTAGAATTAGGAAGTTCAACAATGAAATCCATGGACAAATGGGACCATGAAACATCAGGAATGGGAAGCGGATGTAACAACCCACATGATGTCAGGTATACTCTATCATTCATGCTGCCGCCGGAACCCACTTCCGGGTTCACGGCGCTTAGCCCCGCCCCTTTCTCTGACGCGGTCCTTCCATGATACTTAGGAAGACCGCGCCAGATTCAAAGGGCTGGATTATTCACTCAGGTGCTGCATTGAGATCAGCTGCTCTACTTGATGCTACCGGCTCCACTCCTCTCCCGACCTCGGCTTGTAAACAGATTTCTACCTTCTCCACTTCTCGACCTCGGCTTGTAAAATGGACTTCTACCTTCTCCACTCCCAGACCTCGGCTAATAAAAACGGACTTCTACCTTCTCCACTCCCAGACCTCGGCTAGTAAAAACGGACTTCCTTACTCTCCACTCCTAACGCTCAGCTTATTAATAGAGACTCCTAATTTCTCCTCCATTGGGTGAATTAACCCTTCCATTGCCAGAACTGCCTCTAAGTTAAGTAAACCTTTTTGCCAAGGAAACCAATTCATATTAATTAATTTATACAGTATTTAAATTTCACTAAAATTCTCTCTTGTCAATAAGGGATTGCTACTAAGTCTAATTCTTCCTGCAAATATCAATTTATTCTAATTGCAAGCATGTCCAGCTTCATTAACATAATTTTCATAAATCATTCCATCTTAATTAAGTTGGAACTAGCATTGCATTTCTTCCCTGCATGTGTATTTAAAGAAACAGTCAACCTTGTTCACTTCAATATAAAAGGAGGTGAAACTTATTGTTTCTGCAGTTGAGTTCCAATTAAAGAAGTATTACAAATAAGTATCACACATGAAAGCTTATGAGGTACTTTCGAAACTGCACAAACAGAACAGGCCTGCACATATTCGTCAACACCTTTTCTAAGTTGATCCCACCAAAATGATCTCATGATTGCGGATATGGACTTATTAATGCCCGGGTGTCCAGCAGTCACGTTGTGGTGGAACACCTTCATGACATTTTCCCTTTCACCCAATGGAACAAACAATCTATCCCGTGGTTTATTGCATGGTGCCTGAGACTAAGCCTCCATGATGGCGCCAAGCAGAGGAGATGATAAGGAAAGGACGGTGGAAGCAATGATACACTCAGGAGGAATAATAGGGGATGTCTCTTATTCCTGTACTGATTCAGTATCAAACTGTCTAGATAAGGCATCTGCCTTCACATTTTTGGGACCATGACTGTAAGTTATTAGAAAGTTAAAGCGAGAAAGGAACAGAGACCATCTAGCCTGTCTAGAAGATAGTCTTTTAGCATTCCCTATATAAGCCAAATGGTCAGTAATGATCAAAAGGGGGTCATTGGAACCCTCTAAAAGATGTCGCCACTCTTTGATTACTAGTCTAATGGCCATCAATTCTCTATTGCCAATATCATAGTTGCACTCAGCAGGAGACAACTTTCTAGAGAAGTAACCACTTGAATGTAAAGGGGTATCCTGGCTCTCCCTCTTATTAGTCATGAGGGTCCATCCAACTGTTGCAAGAGTCAGTTATTCAGATGCACAGCCGCTGGGCACAAATACAAGGTTACACCTTGTCAAAGTCTTCAGATCTTTTTGCATTTTTTTCTGCTTCCAACACATGAAATTTAAGAACTTTCTGTTAACTTGCTGCCTAATATATCCCACCCCTTGATATTAGCCATTGTAATGATATAATCTATGTTATTCACTCCCCCTGTCAGTGGTTTTAATGTTGTGGCTGATCAGTGTATGCTTGATAAATAAATGAGCAACAAAGCTGCAGGAGTCTGTATATTTTCTGATTTTTTCATCTGTCAGGATCTAGGGATGGGAAATATTATACCCATATTTCTAATGTGCAAGATACATAGGGTACCAAACACCAAAGTCCCAAACATCTTTACTAACAGACAGAGCTAAAAGAATGTACCTAGACAATTGACTAGGTACACATGTGCGTCGTGGGGTTATTCAGGAGTCAAGGTTCGGCACGCATCCTTATTAGTCACGAGGGCATGAGTAATGGCTGTTGCGATGCCCACGTGAACTTTCCATGTAGGGGTCCTCGCAGACAGTGTTCTGATTCTGACAGTGTTCTGAGTGGAGCACTTGTACGCGAGGGCGCTGTGAAGTGGGAAAAAACACAATATATAAGGTGGCCTGAGGTGATATTTGGCGCCAAAGAAAAAGTTAATTGTAGAGCTGTTTTTCCCCGCCCTCCCTCCCTATAGTTCAATTGTTGTGGTCTTTTATTGGGGTTGAGGTCACCTGCCTAATTTAAATGGGGGCAGGGGGACTAGCTGAGTTTTGTTATCATTTTGTTTAAGTTCTGGCTAATAGGGCGGAACTCTGGTGAGTTATGTGTTAAATATCTGGGTGTTTAAAGCTTGGAGATGTTTGGTTACAAATTACGTGTTTTAAAGTAAATAAGTTACGTTTGTATAATTTTAAACTAAATAAAAGCCTTTTCAGCACTTTCTAATAACTTAGTCTGTGTTTTATTATGTTCAAGCCTTCCATTTCAGGTACCCTCTTACCTCTTGGCATTAAATTCATGTAGTAACAAACTATTCTACATTCACCAAATGCCAAAGTACCCAATTTCTCACAGATCCTAGAAGTATGTGTAATTACTAGTAAATAATATTTTTCTGTATTAAAAGTTGCTTAAGACCTCTCTCAAATGGAGTATGTTTTGTTTTTGTTTGTTTTTTGAGGGGGGGATAATTTTTTGTGTCATGACCATAATGTGTGAATAAATTATTATAATGCTTTTATGTTATAAATTTACTTCACTTTTCTTATTATTATTCTGTAGTTAATAAAGCGTGGAATATGCTTTAATATCTGTGTGTGAGTATAACTATTTATATATATATATATAAACACATATTTTTTGTTAAATGGTATATATATATATATAGGTAGGCCTGCTTATAAGATGTAAGCAGACCTTTGGTTACGGCCTATGTTTATTATGTATAAAAGCAGGCCTGTGCGCTTATTGCTATTATGTAAGGAGGATAATTTAGTAAATAAGAGAGATGCGCCTTATCCCAGCCTATGTGTCCCTCTCCCTCCTCCCTCTCTTTGGTCCTTTCGCTCAGGCCACGCCCACTCCTCGCTCTGTTCGTCGGACACCTCTTGCTCGGCGCTCTCTGATTGGCCGGGCCTTTCCATCCGGGTACTTTGCGCAGTTGCAACTCGTTCGCCTAGAGGTACCAATATGGCGGAGGTAAGGAGGAAAACCGGGCCGGAGCGGGGGGAGGGAGGCTTTACACGGGAATCCCCGGTCTCACAGCCCCGGCTCGCGGCCGTTTCCCACCGGAGACTCACCCTTTTCGCCTCTACTAGCGATACTGGGAGACTGGGCTCCGGAGGGCGGCTGGGGGCCGAGAAAACAGCCCGCAGGCCGCCGGTGGTAGCGGAGAGTCCGAGGCGGGGGTGGGACTGGGACCTTAAAGGCGGCGGCCGCCCAGCCCGGGGCTTCCGGTCCTGGGGTCCGATGGTTGGGCTGGGTATAGCCGGGTATAGCTGGCTCTCACCTGGGGGGGGAGTGTCACACTTTATGGAGTGCGCAGGGGGGGAGAGAGCTGGGGGTCACCGGGGAAAGTGGTACACACCGCACTTGGCGCACTTTATATCCCGGTCTAACAGCGCGGCCGCGGGTGCTATGAGAGCGGCAGAGCGACCTACTGTGTAATAGCGAGAGGAGCTAAGGCTGGCTGAGCGTAGTGAGACACCTGGTGAACCTTACCCGCCGGAGTGATGAAGTTTTACAAAGATAGGGTTATGTACTAAATAACATTTTATAAAAATAAAAAATAAAAAGTTTAACAAGGAATGGGTCAAAATGGATGGATTAGATAATTTATGGAAAATCACTTTTGGGGTTGAAGTATAAACTGCCTTGAAAAGGAGAAATAGCGGTGGTATATTTAGGAAAAAGCTGCAACCATTTTTTATTTCAACCGTTACCTTTTTTACATTTTTTAAGAATTTGGGGCACTGGTTGCAATCAATGTGCAATCAGATGGGGTTTTTGTTGTTTTTTTAATCTTATCATTTAATCCCATTGGTCCCCTTCCGTTGATTGGACAAGAAATGCAAAAAGAAGGGGAGACTAGGAGGTATATAAAGGATGGGTGTTGGAGTAGAGGAGGTGGCAGCGTTTTTAGAGTACACGCTTAGGCTGACACACCTGCCTAAGATGACTAACTGCTGGAAATCCTATCTCTCAAAAAAAAATTTTGTTTAAATCAAGCTATTGATCAGGTGATCCATGGTAGACTTTTCTGTACTACTGTCATCAGTTAACAGTATTCGCCCTCCCCTGATGATGAGCAAAATACTGGCAAGGAAGGGAGCAGCCGAGGATATATATAGAGAGGAGTAGGAGGTGGCAGCTGGACACAAGCAGGGTCGTGGCCTGTCACCAATCCTTGAAAGAGCCATGCATTGATGACAGGCCTTTTCAGCAGGTTTTTAAAGCGAGTGTAATGATATACTGCCCTGACAGCTTCAGATATATACAGTAGTCAAATGGACCCTTCCCCAACACTTCTGCCAGAGATCTCATCATTCCTTTTGGGGCCTGATACAGGTTAGGGATGCCTTTTGCGAAATAATTTCGGCCGGGTACCAATACTTAAACTCCCAAAGCTCAAATACTTGAAGACAGCACCTGTGCATATAATACACACACAAATGTCTTGTATTTGGGGATATTTTGTTTTTTTGTTTTACACATGTTCAGCTAGCGCCCTATTGTAAAGGGATTGTTCACTAAATAGTAAATTTTAAACAAAATTGCTAAAATACAAAATGTTGCAGAATTTGATCTGTTTAATGACAATAAATCCATATAGTAACTACATTACTTGTTAAGGGATAAAATTTTTCAAAAAGAAATGTCATATTTTATAACTCAGTAATGCAGATGACTTTTGTTTGATACAACTAAGAATTTTTTTATTGTGTGTGTGTGTATATATTGTAGTTTGTCCCCTTAAATAGGCGATTTAACGTAGTAGTCTGTGAATCATGCATCAATATGTTGTATTTTATTTTTAAATGAAAAGTGCATCATTTAGGGGCATGTACACTTGTTCTGATACCTATAGGAATGAAAGGTATACAAATTATAAGTCAAGTTTATTTATTCGTTTGTCTTATTTTTTTTTTTCTTCCTATCCACACAGGCTTCATTTGACAGTTCGAGCCCAGGTTTGTATTTTTACATATTGCTCTCTCATTATCTTATGTCTTTGTAAATTTGGACTTAGCAAATGTGGATCACTGTCTATTCTCTCTCTCCCCCCCCTCCCCCCCACCACACTTTATTTATGAGAGAAGATTTAACTTTGACAATGCATCACTCCTTAGACATTTGAGCTACAATTTTTGTTGTGCTGTAAATTCCATGAGCATAATTCAGAGACATTGTAAACAAGTTGAAATGAAGTGCCTTGCGTCTGGAGTGTTCCTTTTTGATGTCCACTAAGAAAAGGAATGGGCTATAGTAAGAAGTTGTAGACTGTAGAGATACTTTCCTACCTTACATATTGATGTAACATAGTGGAGGTGCTGTTTTCAAGGTTTGGGGGTTGTTGCGTGTTTTAGATATTGGTGTGCATTGGGACTCTTGATAATGGATTTAACATATCTAGACTTTGTTGCTGATCATCTTTTTTTTTTTTTTGTTTTGTTTTTTTTTTTTTACCATCTGTGTTCACCTTTTCAAATAGGTTTGTTAGGCAGGACATTCTATTATGTTGAAGTTCCACAAATTAGGCATTTGCCCTGCATAGTCTCTAGATCTGAATCCAAAATAAACAACTTTGGCGCAAGATGGAAAATAAGGTTTGCTTTGGTGCTGTCCATGTAATGTACAGCAAATCTGCCTTGTGTAATTTTTCCAGTACTTTGGTCAATCCATGCTGTGTTGCATGCAGGCTGTTCTGTTGATCTGAGGGATTCCTAGTCGATAAAAATGTAATTTAATTGTCATTGGTTTATTATGGAATTGACCCTTTTAATGCAATAACAATCTTCACTCTACTTTCTACTTCCTGTTGGGGCATCTACAAAGATGCTTGGTACAGTTGAGGGGACAAGGTGTTCTTGATTAAAAACAAGAAACCCTTCAATGGAAATAAAAGAACTAATTAGAATCCTGTTCAAGCATCATTAATACATTATTCTTCTATTTTCATTGTATCCTGAAATAGGATGCACCTTTCGTGGCCACTGGAGATGTTACTAGTCAGCCATGTAAACGCTGCTTTTTCCCTGTAAAAAAAAAAAAAAGCCTGCTAGGACAGGCTAGACACACCAGAATCACTACATGAAGTTATAGTAGTTCTGGTGAGCATAGTGTCTCTTTAAAAATAAAGAAAAGTATTAAAAATAAGGTAAATATTTTAATTTTTCATATTTACCTGCTCCACACCCAATCAGTGTCCTATCCCTCTGAATGCAGGAAAAGTGCATTGGGCGTGCTTGAGAAATATAAACATGTGCCGTTAGAAGATGTCTTCAGCTTGTAACATCCTGACAGTGGGTGTAGTGGAAGCTTTATCCATATGAGCATGCTCCAGTGATGGCTATCTCTACTGCTGCACAATGCTTCCCTATTTGTCGTTATTGGGCTAGTCTGAAACGGAGTAGGGTGGGTAAGGGGAGTGGCTGAAGAAATTTCTCGGAGAGGTATGCCCAACAACCAATCTGGCCAAGTTTATAAATGTTTATTACATGCTTTTCTTGCTTTATTTTTCGTTTGTTTGTTTAAAAGTGTTTTTCTTACTGGTTTATTCAAGAGATGCATGAACTACTCTGTACCAACTAAGTGCCCAAGCAGTCTGTGATAGTAGATACAAATTATCCATGCACACCTGATGGTTTCTTTTTTAAAAGGCTGTCTTTATTTGAAACACAAAAATAGAGACCACGTTTTGGTTCATGTAGTATCTGAAAAGTTTGTCTCCATTTCTGTATTCAAAATGACTGTGTTTCTTTAAAAAAATAAAAAATAAATAAATCATCTGTACCTGGATAAATTATATCTTCTACCAGTGGATTTTTGTGGGAACCTGGCTCCCCCTGTCTGGAGCACCCTGGTGGAAGTACCCCCAATTATTTGGTATTTGTGTATCATCCCCTTTTTTTTGTTTTTTTGTTTTTGTTTTTTGGTAAGCAGTCTGCTTACAGACTGATTAATAAAGCCTATTGCTCAAACATGAGTATGGACTCTTTTCTGTGCCTGAGAGACCCTGTATATCTGAAGGACAGGCTAGAGTTTTTGTTTTTATTTCCCTTGAATAAAACTTTGTCACTTCATGGTTTATGGAATATGCACTGTGTTTCCTCTGAAAAGAATGGATGGGGGACCAAGATTGCATGGTGGCTCATCCATTTCCTGGTCCCCAAATCTTCATCAGGTTTGAAACAAATATAGGAGTGGTGTGCTAGTTGGTTTTTAACACATACATCCATTAAAGTGTCACTCCAGACCCCTAAACAACAACAGCTTGATGAAGTGCTTAAAGAATTAACAGAAGGTGCCACTTCATAAAGTGTATATTTTGAATGAATGCCGACGTTGGCGCCGAATGCGCGTCAAGAGCCGCGCGTGCATTCAAACCACCCATAGAAAAGCATTACTCAGTGCTTTCCTATGGACGTCAGCGTCTTCTCACTGTGATTTTCACAGTGAAAATCTCGGAAGCTGTCTCTAGTTTCTGTCAGTGAGACAGCCACTAGAAGCTGGATTAACTCTCAGTGAAACATAGCCGTTTCTCTGAAACGGCTATGTTTTCAGCTGCAGGGTTAAAACTAGAGGGACCTGGCACCCAAACCACTTCCTTGAGCTTAAGTGGTCTGGGTTCCTATAGTGGTCCTTTTAAACAATCATAGTCTAGAGCTTCGATGGGGATACATTAGTCTAATGTTGGGAAGGGGCACCTGGCATCTAAAGGGGTAAAATAACTACCCAAAAGTTAAAACAAAGTATCCATTTTTAAGTGTGTGTGTGTGTTTTAGTTTTGAGTATACTCCTCTACAGTAAATGTGTACTGAGTTGCAAAGAGTAGCACTTTGTTTCTGAGCACACGTCTTACTGCTTTTATTGATACTAATTTTGTATTTAAAGGTACACTCCAGACCCCCAAAGCACCCTTTTTTTTATTTTATTTTTTTTTTTCTCATCCAAAAAGTGCACTTTTATAAATTAAAATAACTGTATACCCTGGCTGTCCGACACTCAGTTCTCGTATATCCTGGTTGGTTAGCTCAAGTGAGCTAACCTCAAGAGGCCCAATTGCCCAGAGCACCTGCCTTACAAAGACTTCTCGTTGAGCTGCATTATGAAGTCTGTGATTGGATTGAATGTAAGCTGGAGAAGGGCACAGCTTGCAAAGACTACAGACAGGTGATCTCTAGTGTTCTAGAGTACGTAACTGTGAATTCCAAAACCTCAATCAGAATATGTCTGAATTTTTTTTTTTTTTTTTTCAGTTCATGTATATAAACTTGGCTAGTTTGGGTTTTGTTTTTTTGTTCTTTCTGGATTTTCAACTTGCTTTTTAGTGAATTGTAAAATAGTACATTTAATATGTTATTGTTTTAGATTTTATATTCTTCATGGTTTGAGTTGCATTTAGTGTATTGTGGTGTGGTTTATATCTCTAAGCTTTTGTCCATTCTCAGAGTTTTCATATTTGGTTTTGTTACATTCTAATATGTATTATGATTGGCCCATTCGTGTTCAAGAATGCAGCTATGGTTTCAAATTGGGAAGAAAAAAACTAATGGCAAACAATTCCCCTTGTTTAGTGCAATGTTTGTGGCGTAATGGAGAAATATGTAAAGGAGTTTAAGCATGCGTGGGATAGGTATAAGGCTATCCTAACTATAAGATAAGACTAATGAAAGTATTTAGAAAATTGGGCAGACTAGATGGGCCGAATGGTTCTTATCTGCCGTCACATTCTATGTTTCTATGCCTTAGGAGTTAATGAAGGCTTTGTTTAAAAATAAATAAATACTCCCACCCCTATATCAACTTAAGCTTATTAATGTTATGGGCCAGTGTGTCCACGTGCCTTCTTACCTTCATTTGTTAAACCATTTTTTAATTACCTTGAAGTTGGTGCTCTGGCTTCTGCCTTCTGGTTTCCATTCTCCTTTGCACTGCAGTATGAGAAATTGCTAACTACGGTTAGTGATAAGCTGAGAGAGTTGGCTAATTGTCTCAGCCTATCAATTTGCACACATGGCGAGAACTAGTACATTGCTAAATGGTTTGACCATTACGACCGCGCTCGGATACATCTGCTCTTTAACAACTTTAAAAGGACACTATAGTCACCAAAACAACTGAAGGTGTGGCTATAGGGCTGCATAAACAGAACCAAAAGTGATTTTAACTCCTAAATGGCAGTGAAACGTAAGGGGAATGATACACAAAACTGCTTCATTAAGCTAAAGTTCTTTTGGTGACTTAATTGTCATTTTAAAAGCTGTCTCCAGACAACATAACCTCTTCATTGCGGTGAACTTGTTACGATCCAAGGGAATTCCAGGTGCTGTCTTAACTTAAAGGGATCCTATAGTGTCAGGAAAACCAAGGAGTTTTCCTCCCCCCTCCTCCCGTGGGGCTGAAGCGGTAAAAGCCCTTCAGCCACTTGCCTGAATCCAGTGCCGATGTTTGACTGGGGGCTTTTGCACCTCTGATAAATGCATTAATTTTGTAGTGCGTAAAATACCAGCTTTAAAACTGCTGTAACATTATTGATCCCTTGGTACTTGGAGGATTTTTTTTTTTTGTATTATAATTTTTTTTTCCAGATTTGGACTACTTATTATTAAACAGCCAAGGGATCCCTTCCCTAACCCACCTCTCCCCCACACAAACATGAGGACTCTAGGGAGGTGAGTATACGCACACAACTGTTGACAAATCCATGGAGCTTGACTAAAGCTCATCTTTTGTCAACCTGCTGCTTCTAGACAAGGAAAACTAAGCCACACTTTCCTTATGTATAACTTTCCAAAAGTTATCCTTTTTTTTATTTTTTTCAATGTGTTTATTATGAGGTTAACATACATGCATTACTTTTGAGTGTAACGTTTTTTTTTTTTTTTTAGATTACATTTTTTGGAGTAGCAGAGTTTGCAGTCTTGAAATGTATGCATGAAACTATTTAAAGGGGCACTTTAAGCACCAAAACAACTTCAACTTATTGGACTGGTTTTGGTGTATAGATGCCCCTACAGTCTCACTTGTTAAGACAACTTTAGCTTAATAAAACAATTTTGTATATGGATTATGCAACTGCAGTTTTACTGCTTAATTCTCTGCCATATATGAGTTAAATCACTTTTGTTAAGCAACCCTAGAAACTACTCCCCTGCATGTGACCAACAGTCTACCTATATTGCACATCAGTTTAATTTAGAATTTCTTATAATCTACGAGGTCTCCTTTGTGTGATTTAAAGTTCAATTAAAAGTGCAGGTGTTTAAAAACTTCTGAAGTAAACCATGGATGCTATGTGAGGCACCGCCAGTGGAGGTGTGGCTAGGGTTGCATAAACAAGTGATTTTACTCCTAAATGGCAGATAATTAAGCAGTAAAACTGCAGTTGCATAATCCATATACAAAATTGTTTTATTAAGCTAAAGTTGTCTTGGTGCCTAGAGTATTCCTTTAAGGTTGTATGTAATAAAGTGATTCAGAAATACATTAAAGGCTTGTTTGGTTGTTAGAAACTTTTTTGTTTTGAGTATCGAAAATACTGTTTTTATTTTAATTTTTCTCTGAAATAGATAACTACTGAAGCATTTCACAATGAAATATGCAATGAGAGTGACAAAGAGAAAGTAAAGGTAATTTGAGAACGATCCCCCTCCTCTCCCTGCTTAACTGAGGCTGATGCTTTAGGAAATTGAAGGAAATAGACCTGTATTTGTCGATTTGGTGTTATGGTATTTATAAAGGTCATATTTACAGTACTTTATTTCAGCTAGGCAAATATTGCCATTTTAGGTCTTAAATTTAAAAATATTCACGGATTGCTTATAAAGAGAGGAATTATTCATTTCATTGACTGCACAGGAACTAAATCATGAATATCTGAAGGCTAGTGCCATGTCTTGGTCAGATTTTGGATGCATAGTTGTCCAAGGTTTAGAAACCATATTATTTACTTCTATGTTGTAGTTTCCATCTAACAAATTCTTAGTGAGTCCTGAAAAGCTAACTATCTGAAGTTACTGGTTGTGTTCATGCCAGCTAAAGCAACTCTGAAACTCACTCTATCATTAGAGTGGCATCATATGTCTGTGAAGAACAGGGCAGTGTTTTTTTTTTTTTTTTCTCATTTATTTTTAAGATGGATAGGTCACAAAGTAAGTTTTTGCAAACATTGTATGTGTTTTAGTAGTCCTTGACTTTTCTTCTTAATATTTTTATAAAAATGTATTTGTATTTGTTTTTTTTTCTACTTCTTCTTAGTCATTCCTCAGCAAATATTTTATCAGAATGCATTGCTTGTTCACAAGTTGACTACCTTGCATTTTTGTGAGCCTAGATTGGTGGAGTGTCTAAAACACAATAAGCTAAAATACAGGATTTTAACTGTAAAACATCTTAAATCCAACTGAATGTATAATGTGTGGATTTGTATTTGTATTGGTTTATTTTTGGTTTTTTGTGTGTGGTACTTAATATGTTCTTGTGATTTTTCCCACCACCAATATTTATGTAACATATTTGTCTTGACTCAAGATGCTTAATATGATTCTAAAGTTGTGCGTTAAATGTTTTGCATTATGCATATCTTATAAGCAGCCAGCTGTACTGTTGGGAGATTTATCTAACATTTATTCCATACTTTACACACATCATGGCTGTTCTATACGTTTCATAGGGCATTATGGAAACTCCCATTTTGTATACACATTATCACTGGATTAGCCGAAGCTCACAAGCATTTTGTCCTATAAAGGTTATTTTGGAAAACTGGGTGTGTTGGGGAGAGAAGACTAACACTATTTTTAATGGAGCAGTATTTTATTTTAAGGTTTATCATGACTGGGTGTAGCTGTTGGTTTAAAAATAGTCGGTTTTTTTTTTGTTTTTTTTTTCTCCACCTTTTAGAAATGCTAGGTGTGTCTCTTACACTGACTGTGATAATTCTGTGTTAAATAGCCATATAAGGCAGACATGAAATATAAATCTTAACCAAGATTACTTGTGACTAGTTCCCTTGTTAATGTTTTTTTAAAATAGTAGTATAATTAAAGGAAAGCAAAAAATAACATATATAGAATCAACTTTTCTAATCGGTGTCCATTACCTTAGGCAGTTATTTTAAACCTTCATTAACACTGTCCAGTTGCTTTTGCATTATTTGTAACATTTTTAGTCCTTTTTTTGTTCTTTAGGAATTTGTCTTTTTGTGTTGTAACCAATTTTTTTTTTTTTTGTTTATTAACCTGTTGCAGTCGGCTCTCTGTCTTCTGAAGATCATGACTTTGACCCTACAGCGGAAATGTTGGTACATGACTATGATGATGAGAGAACTCTCGAAGAGGAAGAAATGAAGGAGGATGGAAAAAACTTTGCCACTGAAATTGAAGATTTGGAAAAGGTAAGTGAAAATATATTCATTACATTTCAGACTGGAGTAATCTAAGCAAATGTTAAGAGCAGAATCATGCTGGATCCAGAATGCAATTAAGTACATCTAGTTTTACTTATGAACATGGTCTCTTTTAAAGACTCTAACATCCCAATAATTATTTGCACTCTTATGTTTCATATAAAAATGTGCCATCTTAGCATGTATGTATTTGTCTCTCCACAGGAAGGAAACATGCCATTAGAAGATTTATTAGCAATTTATGTCTATGAACCTGCAGATCCGGTAATGGCAGGCTCTAGTGCTGGCAGTTCCCCAAGTGAACTTGCTGATGAACTGCCAGACATGACTCTGGATAAAGTAAGTATGAATTTGATTTGTGCTGTTTGTGGTTTGTGTTTTCTGGGGAGGTGAGGGGTGACCTATGATTATCGTGACCTTTTTGTTGGATTCAGAACCACTTTAACAGTGCTCTAAGGCACCACCACACGACTGTAAGAGCGTAATATTTTGATTAACAAATTGTGCATAATCCTCAGTATAATCACTTGTTAAATGGAAGATGTGTGCAATTTGGAAATTATTAAAAAGGTGTGTTCAAGAACTAATAAAATAACTTATTTGATTTTCTGTTTCTAAGGAGGAAATAGCAAAGGACCTTTTGTCAGGTGATGATGAAGAAACACAGTCTTCTGCTGATGACTTAACTCCATCAGTTACATCGCATGAAGCAACAGACTTCTTTCCACGTCCTTTAAGATGTAAATATTCAAGTGTTTTTATATGTTCAAGAAATGCTTGTTTTGCATCACAGCTGACAGTCTTTTTTTTTTGTAGTGAGTAAATACTATATATTGGCCTCTACCTGAGATTTCACTAAATGTAGTGTTTTCTACTTTCACTATATGCATCTGCTCTTACCGGTAAATCCCAACAATTCATTTATTTGCATTGCTAGTAAGCTTAGCGCACTGGTAGTTGTTGTTGTTTTGAGCAGTGCCATAGATCTGTAGAAAAAGGAGCTCTAAGTGTCTAGTAGTTAGGTATTGAATGATGGGGAAAGGGTAAACTGCACAGCACCGATTGAACTCTTAACAGTCTAAGTGGACAATATTTATATGATCGGTTTTCATTGTTTTTTGTTGTTGTTGTGTTTTTTACACTTTTTTTTTTTTCTTTTTTTTTTTTCAGCAAACACTACTTGTGATGGTGATAAAGAATCTGAAAGTGAGGATTTGGAAACAGACCTTGGCAATGCATCAGAGGATTTAAGAAAGGTAACTTTGAACATTGAAGGTATTTTGTAGCAGTGAAACTCTTTAAAACTAATGGGAGTATATAACATTTTGTGGAAATAAAGCATGTTGAAGCCAATCAACAAGATAGAAATAGAGTAAATGATTATTGTATACATGTAGTAGACAAAATAAGGGAAACCACTAGAAAAATAGTTTAATTAAACCACATGCATACTTGCAATGTTGAGCTATATCTTAATTGTCAGATTAGCAGTAGACATTTGCTTTCAGTAAGCTCTGGTGTTTAGTGCTCCGTGTCCCTTTACCACAAACTTGTAGCTGTACATCTTTCACACAGGCTCTTCATAAACTATATTGCTGACTAGAAAGATTGGATTTATTTGTTGCTTCCAAGAAAACACATCTGTATTAAGAATCCTAAAATTTTGGACCCATCAAAAAGGAAAATGTAGCTGATGGCTTTTTATTTTTTTTTAAACCCCTATTTTCCACATATGTACAGTGTAGGCAACCATCTTGTGGGTCATGTAATATTTCTCATGAAAGAAGTTACTATCTTATTGAACCAGTTTACTCTATGGAAAAGGGGGGGGGGGACGACCACCTTCCCCTTTCTTCTTATGATGATCCCATATTCCAAAATCGTAGTTCCTTTGGTGTCTGTCCTCAGTAACTACAAGAAGTTCAAGGTCGATTTCTACCTCCTTCATCCTTTTAAGTATCATGGAGCTTCTTCAATCTTATTGTTTCCACTTCCATACTAAAACTCAGGAATTTTGTGGATGATATACATGCATTATTGTAAATTAGTATTAATTTTCTTTTTAAGGAAATAATGCTTGGTCCACAGCATCAAGCAGAAATTCCACCTTATGGAAAATACACAACTGATATGACAGGTGAGTTCTAAAAAAATAAAATAAAAAAATCTGTTTTTAGATGACCTGAAGTCCATTTTAAAAATATTTTCCTATTGCATTAATACCTTGATTTTTTTTTTTTAAATCTGTCCTTATTTTGGTAACAATGGATTTAGAATGTCTGTCTGGCAGTGTTAGAGATTTTCTGATAATTTGATAAAGTATGGCCTAAAATTTACAGCATACGAACATGAGGATCAATTACTCTGGAGCCCTGATGTGCTTCCTGAGAAGAAAGTGAAGGCATTTCTATATGAGATCTCAAGAGCTGCTAATGAGAGGGTCATGGACAGGATTCCAGATGGAGTGATTATAAGGGACAACGAGCAGGTATGTTTTATTTCTTAGTTATTGCACAAACTGTAGTAGACATCTGGTTTTCAGTGTCCTCATTTTATAACACCGTGGCCCATAAAATACAATTTTTATTTAAAAAAAAAAAAAAAAAAAATTGACCAACTTTTTTTATTGTTGGACGTAAATGAAAAGCATAAATCTTTTAGGAATAATACTTGGATATAATGTCACTTATAATATATTCATTTATTAATCACAGACATTGACTTGGATTAAATGAAAGTATTTCAATAAACCATTTAAAAAATAAAATAAAATGACCAGTCACTAACATCTGATCAGAGTGAGAGCAACACTGTGAGAGACAAATGTGTGGTTGTGACTGAGATTACTGGTGAAAACTAGGCAAGCAAAAAGACAAATTGGGGGGAAATAATTGAGGTGGAGAAAAGATGATCTGCTGACATATGGAAGGTATGACCATAATCCAACCTATATCATATTTCCGTTAAGACTGGGAAGGAAAGAATCTGTAAATAGCCTGTATTTGTGCTTATTATTTTTTTAGACATCTTAGAGATGGCACACTAGTAATTTATTCACTAAGCGAGTGTAGTCAGTAATTAAATGTAAATTTCAAATTTAAGGCCAAAGTAGTTCGGGAAGGGAGAATATACCTGTCTAACGTTTCTTATTTTAAATTTTTTTTTCTCCTTTTCTTTTATAATTTCAGGCACTGCATGAACTTTTCAAGTGTCAGTACAACACTAGGGAGGCATTGGAAAAATATTGCTGCAGTAGGAGGACGTCACATGGTAAAAATGTTTTATTGTATATTGTAACTATAGCAATGTGCACCTGAATTAATTCTCACTTAAGTAAATAACCCAGAATGTTTTTCAAAGTGAATTTCAAATATACTGAAAAGCATAGTGGGACTATTTTGACCTTAAATCCATAGTCCCTATAACCATTTTATCTCATTGAATTGTTTAGTGTCTAGCAGATTAAAACTGAATGAGCATTCCTGGGCTTTCACAGCCAGGACCTGGCTGGAAGTTTGTTTACAGAAGAAAAGTCTGTCCTTGGCCTTATCAATTTATACCAGCACTGGGCAGCTGTGATAGGCTGAAAGCAGTCAGCCAGTGACCGCTGCCTATTGCTGCTCAGAGTAATGCTACCTTAATGGTCCAAGCAGCACAGGTAGTTTAACACCTGTGGAAGGACAGCACCAGGAACTCCCAGACACTGTAACCATTTCAATGAGATGACGCAGTTGGTGTCCTAACCCTGACAGCCAACCTTTAGAAGAGGGCACTCTGTCAGCTCAGTGCGCTGCATTTGTTTCACTAATAACTGAAGAGATGGGCAGTAAAGCTGGGCAGTGGAAAGGAAGAGATTTGTATGACAAGCAAAAGCTTGGACAAACTCTGTATCTTGCCTTTAGGCAAATTCTTGCTCAGGTCTCAAAATTGTTTTGTTCACGTGTGCCATAGTGAACCTATACCTTCTGCGTATTAGATTGATTCCACCAATAAGAATCTGTCCACATCCAAAATACCAGTAACTATTTTGAGACCTGAGGAGGGATTTACTAAAGGGTGACCTATTAAGTTTGTCTAAACTTTTTGTCTGTTCTCAGTTCTCAAATTCTTTGTATTTTGCTTCAAATGTATTCAAGACCATTTTTCACATATGCAAGCAATTTAGAAATGTTTTCAAATACCCTTCTTTTTTTATAAAACATTGGCATCAAAGTTGCGGAAAGCCAATTGATATCTCAAAACATGCTTATATTGTTTTATGAAAATATAAATCATGAATAATTTATAATCCTACTCTTTCTGCATCTGATAAGTGACCCCAATTTCTTTATTTTTAGATATAATCTCACCGTGGACAGAGGAGGAATGTAGAAATTTTGAACATGCACTTCTAATACATGGGAAGGACTTTCATTTAATACAAAAAAATAAGGTAAATGGGTTGGTTTTGTGTTTTATTTTTTTATTTTTTTCCCCCTCCCATTGAAATGAATTTCAAACCTGCTCAAATTATTCCGGTGACCAGAAAACCCCTACTAATCCAAATAGACTTTACAAACCAGCTTAAAAAATTAATGTTAAATCACATACAATTCGTTTTAAGAGGGACAGCTAGTCTTGTGGTATGGATAATGGAGTTTAAGTGACTTATTTCAAAAACTAAAGGATGGCATTAGGTTGAATGAGTATTTAAAAACAAAAATAAATTTGTAATTTGGAATGTAGCATGATGGTAACACCATTGATGTTTATATTAGCCAAAAATAAGTTATATCTCTAGTAGCAAGAGTGCATATAAATGTTTTGTAAATGCTAAAATCAGAATTGAACAAAGGCAAAGTTTGCATTACAATAAAGAATGCCTTTCTTGGAGATCTTCCCTAGATCATTTTTGCACACCCGTTACAAGCCAGAATTAAGGCTTTCTATCTTGAACGCACTGACCATGCTAGGAAATTCGCCTTTGTAATTTATGCACATCTCTAGATTCCCAATTTGGTTTTATTCGCTTTTAGGTGAGATCACGGACAGTTGCAGAATGTGTAGCTTTCTATTACATGTGGAAAAAGTCAGAGCGGTATGATTATTTTGCTCAGCAAACAAGATTTGGAAAGAAAAGATATAATCACCACCCAGAAGTAACGTAAGTGACATGTCTGCTCTTTCTAAGTTTCCTCTCCTCAACTGTTGATGACTACATTTAGTGCTTATCTATACAAATGGCAGACACCAACAGAAATTTTCATTTATTTATGTTAACTTTAGGGATTATATGGACCGTATGGTAGATGAGGCGGAAGTACTTGGAGGAGCAGAAAATTCATCCACCTTAGCCTGTCAGAGTAGAGGCGATCCCATACCGGACTCACAGCTTAACATCTTGAATTCAATCACTGCTAATGACCTGACAGGTGAGCATCTTTACCCGCCCTCTAAATTCTTTTCTTGGATTGCCTTGTTTCCCTCCGATACTTGGACATAGTTCCCCAAGTGTGTTTCCCTTGATTTCATGTGAGAATAAGGGTTCTGTTTAACAGTGTAATGTTAAGAGACAATCTTATAATGTGTAGATAAAAGAAAATTGGTCTAATTTGTAAATCTTGCACTCAATAAATAAAATGTAAGCAGTTATTGTTCCTTTAAAATGAAAGTGTCTGCTTCTAAGTCATGGCATAAAGGTAGAAATTGCACCATTGCTAATCTAGTGGGGTATGCATGTTTGTGCAATCTTAGTATCTCAATCCAAAAATGCAGTGTGCACGGTTACATCATTGTTATATTCCACAATGCCACGCAACATTTTGTGATCTATATATAGGTGTGGGGTTTCACTAAACTGCATAGTAATCAACCTTTTAGGTACATATATATTGTTGCTGTGTATTTTTTTTCTTGCTTTCCCAAAGGCTTATTTTAAACCAATTGTAGATATTGATATAAACATTTCTAGAACTAATTTCAATTAATATGAAGTGTTCAAATGAGTTTTTAAATCCATGTTTAGAAGTTATACATTCACCTTATTGATGGCTTCTTCCCTTTTCTTCGTTTCTATTCCAGCTTTGACAAACAGCGTAAATACAGTATGTAACTCCACAGATGTTACCTGCTTAAGTGATGGATTCCCAGTGTTGGACCCTTTGCCAAGGGGACCTGTAAATCATGTGCCTGTTGGGACAGAAGACTTGCTAACTTTACCCAGTAATGGTGAAAGCGATTGTTTTAATTTATTTGAGACTGGATTTTATCCTTCTGAACTGAACACAGTTAGCTTATGCAATGAGGAAGCAGAACGGCCTGCTAAGAGGATAAAAATGGGAATCTCTGTTCCGGACTCCTTCATCAGCGATGTTTCTGTAAATAACCTCAGTGCAGACTTTGAAAACCACACACACCACATTACCAGTGCCAAAATGGCTGTGTCCGTAGCAGACTTCAGCAGTTTATCTGCAAACGAGACAAATAGTTTTATAAATTCACACACACTACACCATACAGCCCTTCAATCGGAGTAATCTCAACTACATTCTCCTAAAAACATTGGGTATGCAGTTGGAGTAAATCTGGTTTTATAAACTTCGGGTTTGCTTAGTCTTTCACTGGAAGTTTGAAATTTTTTTTTTTTCGATATGACATCAGTGATGTCTTTGTATGTAAAGAACTATATCTTGATTTTTGTCAAGAATAACTTCATTTCGGTCCATAGATGTGGAAATAAGACTGTATTCAGCAGAATTGGGAGCTCAGATAAATATCTGGGGATGCAGCTTTAGACTTGACTTCTATTTTTGTTAAAGTCTGTAGATATTGGGTCTCCATCTCTTAAGCCAGCACAGGTTCTAAATCGTATATTGGCTTCTTCTGGTCTAAGCTACCTTCGCAGCAGCGGATGCAGTGGAAAAAAAAAAAATCAATGTTTACAGGTACCAATCCGATCCCTGCTTAATGTAGCATTTTTTTTTAACTTATTATACATATAAATATATATAAATAAATATATAATTTCTCTTTTTTTTTTTTTTTTTTTTATTTAAAATTTATGGCAGGGTTTGGACATTCAGAATTCGAACTGCACAAACATAATTTCTGTTTGGGTTGTGGTTTTGTATTTTAAACAGAATCATCTTTTACAAGATACAAAATAGCACCTCCGTTTATAGCAAGATCACTGCTAAAGAATCTCCCAATGAGACATTACATCTCTTCGACAGGAACCACGTTGTTGGATTTCTAGCACAGTTACCTGGATGAGCTATTTGATGCAATTGTTGTAATACTGCCAGACTGGATCTGTGTAATTTTAGCAAAATGGGCAAAACTTATTATTTTTTTTTATTTTTTTTTTCTTCACCTATTTGAAGATTGTAAAATAAATTACACATTGATCTGTGTATCTTAAACTTACCTGGGGCAGCTGACATTGTCCATAAGCACAGTCGGCAAACCTATTTGTACCACTAAGTTTACATGAGCATATCCATCCTAGGTATATCTGATGTCATTGCAGATTAACAAACTTTATTTTGTTTCCTTGTAATTTGGTACTGTAAAGTTTTCCCGACTTTGCATAAAACATAGAGCCATGAAAAATGTACTATGAAATCCAGAATCTTGTGTGGTGATCTAGAAGTTTAATATCTGGCCTCCTCATCCTTACCGCCATAACTGTCCAATACAATGACCTCTCATAATGGCCAAGAGGTAAATCTGTGTGCTCATTTTGCAAACATATTACAGATTTAAACGTTTGAATGGAAAACTAAGCACATACCGCCATGTGCTTCCTCTGCCAAAGAGTCTCTCATGTTCTTCGCTTTGCATTTAGCTTACCATCTATTAGTGAATGGTTAACCATTTGATTCTTCTTTCCATAGCCTTACCTGGCTTTGAGGTTATATAGCTCGTATTTTGTTTTATTTTTATTTTATAAATTGAAAGAAGCTGCCACATTGATGGGTAAATGTATATTCAATACTATCTTATTTCCATCTATGTAAAATAATACATATCTTCTGCATCCACGTTTCACCCGTTTTAGAAGTGTTCATGTGTGCTGGGGCAATGCAGAGAGAATAGACCACTGGTAGAATACAGAAGGGAGGGTATTTATTAGGCTTACTGTGAACTACAATAATATCAGTTTCAGGTGGCTGTGGTGTGTGTTTATTTTTTTTTAATTATACACAAGAACATTGAATCATATGTTTACAGTCACAGATGTTATGGGTAAGGTATATTTATATGAAATCAATGACCTATCCCAATTACATAAACTGATATGAATTGCCTTTTTCATCTGTAATATGTATAATTTGCATTGCAGTCCCTATGCTTTCAATTACATTTCTTATCAAGTTGGCTTCCGATTTTTATAAATTTTTGATGGGCGTTCCCCTCTGCTTGCTTGTTTGTGTGTGGTGGTTTTTTTTTTTTTTTTTTGTCGTCCAATAATGAGTTTACGACTGTATAAAATCATTTCATAAGGATGACTGCTTATACCAGTTGCACTTAAATGAACCATGACCATTCTTCATAGCTAATGCAGTAATATTTGGTAAATCTATCTATGCATTGCTGGACTCTCAATATAAACAAGGAGACTCACTCAAGTTTCTTGTCAATAGTTTTGATTGTCAGCAAGATGTACAGACACTTTAGTCATTTAACGAAAAAAGCAACACATTTTGTTTTTTGACCAAAATCAACAAGTGTTTTTTTCAGGTTTGATAGGAAAAAAGGACCTAGCGAACAGGCTGTGTTTTGGAGGCCTAAACGGAAAATATAAATATATATAATTTTTTTTAGTTTAATATTTTTAAACCTGCCAGTGTGGCCTTCAAATCTTTTACATGTGTTGTAGGCCCATCTAATGTTAAATAGAGTTACCTTTCTGCCAGAGCAGCCAGTGACTAGCTGTCCCAGCAAGGAGTTGGGTGGCTGTTAGGTTATTGATGGTTCAAAACTGTGAGTAAGCTAGCATAGAATATTTACCTCTAATTCTTATGAGGCAATAATTTGCAGAGATTTATTTTGTAAATATGTATAAATTCTCCTAAACCTAGATATCTATTTCTGTAATATTTTCAGAATTCTGCAGTGTATATTTTATTTTTTTCTGCATGCATGTGATACAATGTGTACCACTTAACTTTTACCCATGTAAAATATATATTTATTGTTTTTGTTTTTCCCACCCAGAGAAAAATATCTTTGTAATAAAAGGTCATTTGAGCATATTAACCGCTTTACTTCCTTGCGGACCTGCAAGATATCAAATAGATCAACAGTTATTTGTTTGTGTTTTAGCACAGCTATTTTGCAAGCTGTGCCAGGCCCATTTGGAAGCAAAGAGGTGCAGTGAGTTATTTTTTATAGATGAGTGAAAGGTCCTGCAAAAGTGAACAATCGACTTGCCTTTTTTGATTCCTTAAATATTAAAGCACAATTCCTGTACGAAAATAAGAAATCTTTATGAATTTTTTTCATTCAAATATATCTATGAGCTGTTTGAACTTTGTGTTTATTTTGTTCTTTTGAGATTTTAGAGAGTCAAGAGTCTGTTTCATTTGAAAGTGTAACTGGTGCTTTACTTACAGCAATATTTAAAATAAGTAATGCACAGATTCTGAGACAGTTGGCACCTGTCAGTGAACTTTGTGGACTGTTCCCTAACTTACACAAGTTTTTCTGATGGGGTAGATGTGTTGCACACTGGGTATATTATTGATTGATATTTCAGTTATCCTTTTGTGATTGGGTCTAACATTGTACTGAACTATCCTACTGGGGGGGAAACCGTACACTCCTTCCATGGACCAAAATTAACAATTCATGAATGGTCAAATAAGATATGTGAGTGATATTTCATAGTCTACATATGTTTGTGCCCACTCTATTTTATTTACACTATGAAAAAGTTGATGGTAAATTTGCATTTGCCCCTTTTTTTTTTTTTTTTTTTTTTTTTTTTTTTTTTTTTTTTTTTTTGTAACTGAATTCTTATTTATAATCTTTGTAGTATTAGCCATTCACCCTAAATTCTAATTTTACTATTATCTTGCTGTCAAGTCTTAATCCCAAACAATATTCTACAGAGGGAAATAGTATTTGTGAAAAATATTGAAGTTTATTTTGTGACTTTGTATTTATATTTGTTTTGGGTAGGGGAGACTGCACTTTTTATTTTATTTTCCTGTTCTAATTGATCAAACCTCCTCCTGCTAAGGATTTTTTTTTTTTTCTTACTGGCATTTGTTCTAATGTATTTACAATATTTTTCTTTGTTTTATTGTCTGAATTTACTTGAAAGATATATATTTAAAAAAAAAACACAAACTTTAATTGTGTACAATTAAGTCAACAGTTGTGCCATCCTTGACTACTCCCCCTCTGTTTATATGAATCTGGCAGTACAGTATTTCTCTACCATTCCAAGGGGTTATTTTGTTTGGTAGTTTTGTTTATTTTTAAAGAACCATTAACAGCAAATCTAAAATATTTGAAATTTCCCTGCTAAGCATTGACCAAGCAATTAGAATATTCTATTTTTTCTAAGACCTACGAAAGATACACATCTGATTATAATTTGCTGAAAAGTTACTTTTTTAAAAATGGAAATTTATTGCTGTGTATATTTGTTAAAATATGTATAAATATTCCTGTTATATCACCAGTGTGGATTTATTTTTTTTTTTTTTTGTCCTGTTTTTTAAAATGAAAATTTTAACGTAGAGAGAAGTTAGTGACAATCAGAAAAACCTTTACTAGTAAAGGCTTGAGGAGGTCACTGTCCATTGAGTTAAATATTTGTACATAAACACTGGGGTGTTTTTTTTTTTTTTTTTAACATTATTTTGTATTTTTGTTGTGTTTTACTATCTTATCTGGTGTAAAGTTCCAGAAATAAAAGTCTGGAAATTTTAAAAGTCTCTCATGTGCGTGCATGGGATTTCTCCAGTGAGTATTTACTGGCTTGCACTTGATCTTCATTATCGTCCTTGCATCTTCATAGACATTTATAACTTACGTTCTTAAATGCTTTAAAATATACTCTGACCTATTCGGTCATGGAACAAGTCCCATGGGTCAACTAAAATATCAAGAAAATAAAAGGCGGGCGCACACCTGGAACATGCAACAATGAAGGCCATAGAGACAAAACATATACAAAATACATGTCAAGGAACACACACACACACACACTTTTAAATTTTATAAAGCTACTTCAAATTGTCTCTCAGCGCACAAATGTGGGATTTCATTTACACCATATGTCCAAATTGTAATAAACATACCACAGTACTCTGATATTGGTGTGTCCAACACTAGTTTTAACATGGGAGACAAATTAAAGGAACACTATAGTTACCAAAACTACAGCCTATGGAATTTGTTGTTAGTATAATTAACTTCATGCTTTTTACAGTAAACAGAGAAAAGGCAATGTTTACATTACAGCCTAGGGACACCACCAGTGGCCACTGCTCAGATGGCTACTAGAGCTGCTTTCTGGGGCCGCAGCATTGACATTCAGTGTATCCACCCTCTGCATGGAGATGGCAATTGGCTAGGAGACTTAAATACTATGGAGTATAAGTGCAGGAGACTTGAAAACAGGAACTGAACACAAGAAACCAGGATCAAAGACTTGATAATGTTCCCAGGGTGAGGTAGTGCTTATATACCCAGCTTATGAGTGATCTGTCTCTTTTGACCACAGAAGAAATCCAGCCCCCAGTGCTGCAGACATAGCCAGGGAGAACAGGGCTAGAACTACTCCAAAGAATAGGCTGTGGCTGAAAGGCAGTATAGCAGGCCCAGGACAGCAAAGGACCCAGGTTCAAATAGCCTGTTGGGCACCTCTGGGGCGGTCACGCCTGAATGTCTGTATGGAAGCTTGCTAGTGAGCTTCCATTGCCTTTAGAACCTTAAGCAATTGAATTTTGCGGTTTCCTGATGCCTGTGAGAACAAGCTGCGCCTAACAAAGCCTGACATACGTCAGTCGAGCAGAAGGATCAAACAGACTGCAAATGGAAGCCAATTGTACAGCAGGAGCCCCAGACCTTCATTCAGAGTCTCCTAGACCAGCCAGGTGAAAGTAAACCTCGCTGCTACACCAGGTAATACAGCATTCAACTTTTGCTGCTATCATTAAGAGTCACTGCAGCTGATCCTCGGTTGCTAAAGGGATACCTATAGGGGGGTTGCCCTTGATGAGGCTTGGACTGCGTCTTCCAATAGGGAGAGAGACTGAACTCCCCTGGGAACATGGGACCAACCTTGTCCATTATAAGAATTTTTGTGTGGAGAAAAAAAAAAAAAGGTAATAGGGGTATGTATTCCTTTTATTTTATTGAGCAGCGTTTCAGTCCAATAGGAGATGTTGAGAGGCTAGCACATATATAGTGCTACCACGGGTATTGCCAGGAAAGACAGTGATACAAAACAATAGTGTACACGATGTGAAGGACAAATGAATAGCTCTGAAACACCTAAAAAGTGGTATCCCTTACACCACTATAAATATAATACAATACATACAAAATAATAGGTGGAGCTGTAAAATCTCTTGAACAATCTGAAAAATAGAACATATGCAGATAGCGTAGTATGTCTATACAATATAATACATAATAAAGGTAAGATGGTTAAACTCACAAGGCTAGAGTCATACCGTCATATGACTCTAAAAGTATGCTCCCTTGGACCATTGGGGGGTTGTCCAAACCCTTCTTTCGTTGGATTCTTGCTGTTCCCCCTTGTGATCTTTAGAGTGTCTTCAAAAAAGTGCCCAATATGCAGAAGATCTTTTAATACTGGTATTTGTTTCTTAAAACAGAAAAAAAAGGTAATAAAAATAACAAAATAACAATACACTATACCAATAAATATTGGATATAGGTAAAGTCCAATGTGGGTTAAAAAAATGAGTGTCCAAAACGCATTTCGCCTGATTAACAGGCTTCCTCAGTTGGCTCTGATGTCTCTTCTAGTGTTCTTTCCTTTTTGAAAATCCCGGTGGCCGGTTTTGCCTTCCTTATATATCAGTTCCGGGTTCCGTCTGTTGGAACGCAACATGCGTTCCAACTCCGGCGCTCACTTCCGGATCGCATCTAAAATGGAACGCACGTGCGTTCCAACCTTGGATACAGATCGGGTAGCACTTTGACGTTCATGTCCGGGTCTCTCCGTTCACTTCCGGGTCGCGTCTAAATGGAACGCACATGCGTTCCACTCATAGATTCACATCGGGTAGCCACTCAGTGCTGTCGGGCACATGCGTTCCATCTATATCTCTAACACAAAACATCAATTATAATTTAATAAAGCAAATGAATATAACATTATAAAAATATAAAGTAATATAAAACCAAGTTATATCAGATCCAATCTGAACCCCAATTTGTGTATATACCGAAAGAGGGAAAAACATTTAAAAGTTAAAATATATTAAAAATATATATAGATAATGGTCTAATGAACAATAGAACATAAAAATAATTCTGTCAAATATAAAAGATTATTCTATCCCAATCTTAAAGGGGCAGGATATCTCATCTAAAAGCAAATTTCTTTTAAAATAGGCAAAAGTAATCAATTAAAAACAAAAGAGAAAAAATCTGGTATTCAGTGATTAAAAAAACACAAAAGTTATACAATAGTCTATCATGGGAATAGCAAATAGATAAAAGTAGTATCTAAAAACTTTTAAATGTTTTCATAAAATAGTACAAAGACGTGATAGGCTAAGATTGATGCATAAAGTGACATAGTTCAAAATCGTTATTCAATCCATATGGGATCATAGTATTAAAATTGAATATAAACTTAATTTCTTCTTTTGTTCACATAGTCACCTCCTCTCCAATCTTTTTTTTACAAATTTTAAAGCACAAAAAAACATTCCTTCTGGATCTTGTTGATGAACATGTTTAAAATGATTCGAAACACTGGGTTTCAACCCCATTTTTAATATTTTTTATGTGTTCCGCTATTCTTATGTTTAAGCTTCGAATTGTGCGACCTACATATAAAAGATTACATGGACATTTTAAAATGTAAATAACTCCTTTTGAATGGCATGTTAAAGGACCACTATAGTGCCAGGAAAACATACTCGTTTTCCTGGCACTATAGTGCCCTGAGGGTGCCTCCACCCTCAGGGTCCCCCTCCCCTAATTTATTACCTAATTTATTAGTCACGTGTGACGTGACATCTTTATATAGCATCATACCACATGAGAATGGTCTAGAAGCAGTACAATATTTTTTAAAGAAACATTTTAAGGAAGAACAAATTTTATTTATTTTAGAAGGGATAAATCTAGTTTTAACCAACAACTTTTTCTGGTTTAATGAGGTGTTTTATTTACAGATTAGAGGTACGGCGATGGGTACCAAGTTCACCCCCAGCTATGCAAATTTATTCATTGCATATTGGGAAGAACAGTTCATTTACCAAGGACACTCATGGGGGGCGAACTTGGTAAACTATTGCCGGTATATAGACGACATATTTTTTATTTGGACAGCATCACATACGGATCTACTTTCTTTTCTCAGTTATCTTAACAACAACCAGTGGAATATCATTTTAACGGCACCGATTAGCACTCAACAGATCAATTTGTTGGATTTAGAGATATTCATAACACATGGTGCTATTACCACTAAGAACCATTTTAAGGACGTAGATGCCAATAGCTATATTAGAAGAGAGAGTTGCCACCATACCCCTTGGTTAAGCAATGCTCCCAAGGGACAATTCCTACGTATAAGAAGGAATTGTACAAATGAACAAGATTTTTTAGAACAGGCAAATAAAATTAAAGTACAATTCTTGGAAAAAGGATATGATGAGGTTTCCCTCCAATCAGCCATAAACGAGGTCCAAAAAATACAAAGGACAGATCTTTTAATATATAAACAGAAAAAGAAAGACCTAAATTGGAACCAAGATATCCCTTTTATATGTAATTATCATGGTAATAGCAGAAAAATTAACAAAGTTATAGCAAAGCATTGGCATATATTGAAAGATGATCCAATTCTTAAAAACGTATTGCCAGAAAAACCAAAAATAATTTTTAGAGGCGTAAAAAATTTAAGAAATACTTTAGTTCAAAGTAGTAATAAAGAACAAACAACAGGTAAAACTTTTTTTTACAATGAGCAAAGGCTTTTACAGATGCGGACAATGTCTAGAATGTAAAAAGAGACATCTAACAGACTTAGAACCCATTATTAACAAGAAATACACTATAAGAGATAATTTAACATGCCATTCGAAGGGAGTTATTTACATTTTAAAATGTCCATGTAATCTTTTATATATAGGTCGCACAATTCGAAGCTTAAACATAAGAATAGCAGAACACATAAAAAATATTAAAAATGGGGTTGAAACCCACAGTGTTTCGAATCATTTTAAACATGTTCATCAACAAGATCCAGAAGGAATGTTTTTTTGTGCTTTAAAATTAGTAAAAAAAAGATTGGAGAGGAGGTGACTATGTGAACAAAATAAGAAAAGAAGAAATTAAGTTTATATTCAATTTTAATACTATGATCCCATATGGATTGAATAACGATTTTGAACTATGTCACTTTATGCATCAATCTTAGCCTATCACGTCTTTGTACTATTTTATGAAAACATTTAAAAGTTTTTAGATACTACTTTTATCTATTTGCTATTCCCATGATAGACTATTGTATAACTTTTGTGTTTTTTTAATCACTGAATACCAGATTTTTTCTCTTTTGTTTTTAATTGATTACTTTTGCCTATTTTAAAAGAAATTTGCTTTTAGATGAGATCCTGCCCCTTTAAGATTGGGATAGAATAATCTTTTATATTTGACAGAATTATTTTTATGTTCTATTGTTCATTAGACCATTATCTATATATATTTTTAATATATTTTAACTTTTAAATGTTTTTCCCTCTTTTGGTATATACACAAATTGGGGTTCAGATTGGATCTGATATAACTTGGTTTTATATTACTTTATATTTTTATAATGTTATATTCATTTGCTTTATTAAATTATAATTGATGTTTTGTGTTAGAGATATAGATGGAACGCATGTGCGTTCCAGTTTCACTCTGCCCGACAGCACTGAGTGGCTACCCGATGTGAATCTATGAGTGGAACGCATGTGCATACCATTTAGACGCGACCCGGAAGTGAATGGAGAAACCCAGAAGTGAACGTCAAAGTGCTACCCGATGTGTATCCAAGGTTGGAACGCACGTGCGTTCCATTTTAGATGCGATCCGGAAGTGAGTGCCGGAGTTGGAACGCACGTTGCGTTCCAACAGACGGAACCCGGAAGTGATATATAAGGAAGGCAAAACCGGCCAGCGGGATTTTCAAAAAGGAAAGAACACTAGAAGAGACATCAGAGCCAACTGAGGAAGCCTGTTAATCAGGCGAAACGCGTTTTGGACACTCATTTTTTAACCCACATTGGACTTTACATTGGACTTTACCTATATCCAATATTTATTGGTATAGTGTATTGTTATTTTGTTATTTTTATTACTTTTTTTTCTGTTTTAATAAACAAATACCAGTATTCAAAGATCTTCTGCATATTGGGCACTTTTTTTTTTTTAATTCTTTATTTTATTTGTGCTTGGAATAACAATAAACGTGCAAGGGCACAACAGCCGTTGCAAGCATAGCATTAGCATTTCAAATTGTGGCAGATTAGACAGCACAGTTTTATATATATGATGTGAGATTAACAAGCTATATGACAACCGTAGCGAGTAATAATATGCTGGAACATGAGGTTATCAAATTATGAGACTTCAGTAAATTGTAATAAGTAATAAGCGTACCAAGACATGTAGTGAACGAGCTATGAGACCTTAATAGATTATCGTTGGTGATGGCTATGTTAGGCTAGATATGCTCATAAGAGAATACATAGTACAGGTAGCAGGTCGTCAGACACACAAACTAGTTGGCATGGAAGTGGCCAGTAGCAGGCTGTCTAGGAGCACAGCACGTTAAAAGAATAGGACATATCGCCATCCCACAGGTAAGAGGGATAAGTGCTAGTCACGAGCCCTCTCACTGTGCCACAACGGCGGCATTTAGTCAAAGTTTCGTTTTTCCCCTAAGTTTTAGTGTTATTACCACCAGTCCATGAGATCGTATGAGCTTAGTCCATTCGTGGCTTGAGTTATGCTTCAGGGTCCGGGTGCTCAGCTGGATCGTGTGCTCCCAACATTCCCTTCACCCGTTTGAGGCAGTGTGGTAGGCACTTCATCCTATGCCCAGCGCTGGTAAGATCAGGCGGCTGTTGCTATTCTTCGTGTCATAGCAGTCGCGGGGCCCGTTGGCTCTATTTCGGGGTTGAGCTCCAGGCCGTCTCTTCGTGGTGTGCCATTTCCCCTTCACTTGAGTTGCAGTATTGGTTGAGGGGTGGCGCTTGGTGTTGTGCTGGTAGCCGGGATTTAGGTCAGATATTTTAGTAGTGTGCTTCGTTGTTGGATTGGAGATCTTGGCTTTGCTTGTGGGTGGGTGGGAGCGTGTGTCCCTTCTCGATGCCTTTCGGGATCAGTTTTGCCTGACGGCCATCTTGGATGCTTGGGGTACCGGTATGTAGTGCCTGCGTCGCGCTGCTGGTCGCAACCATGAGGCCACCTTCCGGTCAGCTTGGCGGTGAGTTGCTCCCCGGTTTCGCAGTGCTACCCTGAGACCAGCGCAGGTCCGGTCAAATATTGCCATAGGGGACATATGTGCCCTTGTGCAGGTGCTCCGCCTGCTCTGCGCAGGTTGGTCGGCCATTTTGGCTGTACCTCTTCGGTCTGTTGCCCCACCATTTGGTGTGGTTGGTGTGGTCTTGTTCCATGCTGGTCCGTATGTGCTTTGGGGACCGGGATGTCCCCCACCGGTCCATAGGGGGGGGGGGTGTGCTGAGGTGTAGTAGCTTGTGGGTTCTTGCGCCGAGGGGAGCGGCCGCCTCCCCCCTGCTTCAGCCCCAGTAGGCCGCATGTGGAACTCTGCTTTCCCAGCGTCGACAGGCACCGGGGTGGTGTCGGATTACTCAGTGGGGCACCCCCAGCGTGGGTGGTGCACCCTCCGATTTTTGTGGGCTTGTTAGCCGTTGCTTTTACCCTGGGTTCTGCCCGCCGGATCAGAGCTCGTGGCAGATGCGACTGCACGGCTCGGCAGTCAAGCTCCGCCCCCCATTGGGCACTTTTTTGAAGACACTCTAAAGATCACAAGGGGGAACAGCAAGAATCCAACGAAAGAAGGGTTTGGACAACCCCCCAATGGTCCAAGGGAGTATACTTTTAGAGTCATATGACGGTATGACTCTAGCCTTGTGAGTTTAACCATCTTACCTTTATTATGTATTATATTGTATAGACATACTACGCTATCTGCATATATTCTATTTTTCAGATTGTTCAAGAGATTTTACAGCTCCACCTATTATTTTGTATGTATTGCCAGGAAAGAGTTGATCAGTAGGTAATCTGCAATGGGATCCAAGGAAAATGTGGTAACCAGTAACATAAGACAAGAGGCATTATGACAACAGGCAAATCAGCACGAAATAAAAGATTAGCATTACCAATTACTGAAGATAATAAATTACCCTCTAGGAAAGCAAAACTATTTAACGCTGATCTGGAGATAAATGACATTGAACAGTGGGAGGTATGTTTATCTACAGATACTTTTGCAAGCTATTTTATCTGCAAAACATATTGAACGTCATATTCCGGCTCCCAGCATCACTCTGCGGCGCGCGAGGGAGCTGAGCAGAGCGCTCAGGGGAAAGTGCTCCCTCGCCAGCGCTGCCCGCCCAACCGCCCAGCAGCCCCACTAGAACCCAGGGACAGGGAGAACCCCCTCCCCCCTCGGCATTCCCAAAGGTAAGGAGGTTGGGGGAGGGAGGGGGGTTAAAAAAAAAGTGTTAATGTGAGTGAGTGTGTGTGTTTGTCTGTTAGTGAGTGTGTCTGTGAGTGAGTGTGTGTGTGTATATATCTATAAGGCGGGGCAGGGGGGAAGGGTTGGGTGGGGGTGGTGCGGTTGGGAGGGGTGCGTCTGAGTTTTGTCCTGCCTAGGGCAGCACAAAACCAGGATACACCACTGAGCTACCCCATACGCATAAGGTCCCAGACAAAAATGCAAACATGCTCACAGAGACATACATTCTCACACACACACATACTCTCTGTCAGACACACTCTCAGGCACATACACACACATACTCTCTGTCAGACACTCTCAGGCACATACACAGGTAAACTGTGCATCAATGTGTATATGTGACAGTGTGCATGTATTGCAACTCTTTTTTTCCCCCCCACTTTTTTGTTAGTGGGGCCTCATATTTGAATTTCGCCTAAGGCCTCATAAAGTCTAGAGAAGACTCTGCCTGGGAATCTTGGGAAAATTGAAGAATAAATGGAGCAAAATACAAGGATATGCTGGGAGGTGGTTGGTCAGTTGACTGTTCTGAATTCCCTGTTCCTGATGCCTTCTGATGTTCCTTAACTGCCTCTCTTCTGATTGATTTCTTAGGTCCTGACTCCGACTTCCCTCCTGACCATGCTTTCTTGCTGCCTGCCCTTTGGATCGCCTGACATCCAGGGCCGGACTGGCCCACCGGGATACCGGGAAATTTCCCGGTGGGCCGTCGGCACCTGGGACCGGGCAGGCAGCTGGCCCTTCTGGCGGCCGCAGAGGGAGCTCTTTTGGTGGCTGCAGGGGAAGCTGTGTGTTCTGTCTCTGCTCCCCCGCCCTCGTGCTGCTTAATGAGACCAGGGCCGGAATATAAGGTCATATTCCGGCCCCGGTCTCATTAAGCTGCGCACTGGGGCGGGGGAGCAGAGACAGAACACACAGCTTCCCCTGCAGCCGCCATCAGACTGAGTGAGCTCCCCATGCGGCCGCCATCAGAGCTCCCCCTGCGGCCGCCAGCACACAGGTAGAAATTATGTGTGTCTGTGTCATGGTGTGTGTGTCTGTCTGTTTCATTGTGTGTGTGTGTGTCTCTGTCTGTCATGGTGTCTCTGTGTGTCTCTCATGGTGTGTGTTTCTGTCTGTGTCATGCAATGTGTGTCTGTCATGGTGTGTGTGTGTGTCTTTGTCTGTGTCATGCAACGTGTGTCTGTGTCATGGTGTGTGTGTGTGTCATGTAATGTGTCTGTGTCACGGTCTGTCTGTGTGTTTGTCATGGTGTGTGTGTGTCTGTGTCATGTAATGTGTGTGTCGTGGTGTGTGTCTGTGTGTCATGGTGTGTGTTTGTGTCATGTAATGTGTGTCTGTGTCACGGTGTGTCAAGGTGTGTGTGTCTGTCATGGTGTGTTTTTGTCATGGTGTGTGCATGTCTGTGTCATGTAATGTGTGTCTGTCTGTGTCACGGTGTGTGTGTGTGTCTGTGTCACGGTCTCTGTGTCGTGGTGTGTGTCTCTGTGTCGTGGTGTGTGTGTCTGTGTGTCATGGTGTGTGTGTCTGTGTCACGTAATGTGTGTCTGTGTCACGGTCTGTCTGTGTTATGATGTGTGTGTGTGTGTGTCTTTTTTAAGGTGTGTGTCTGTGTCACGGTGTGTGTGTTTCGGTCTGTGTCACGTGTGTCTGTGTGTGTCTGTCTGTGTTACCTTTTTTTTCCCCCACGTCGTGCTGGTCTCCCCTCGACTGGCCCTGCCTCTATGGCTGAGATCATCAAGCTTGATGATCTCAGCCAATCCGCACTGATACAGGAAGCACCTCTAGTGACCGTCTGAGTGTCTGTCATTAGGAAGCAATGTAAACACTGCCTTTTCTCTATAAGTCAGTGTTTACATTGAAAAGCCTGCAGGGACACCAGAACCACTACATTAAGCTGTGTGTGTGTGTGTGCGCCTGCTAGTGAGTGGGCTTGCTTGAGTGTGTGTGTGTGTGTGTATGTGTGTGTGCCTGCTACTGAGTGAGCTTGTGTTTTTATGTCAATGACCTTATGTATATCAGTGAGATTGTTTGTCTATGAGGCTGTGTATCAATCAGTTTGTGTCAGTGAGATTGTCTGTGTCTGCATGTGAGTATGCTTACTGTATAATTAAAAATTTTACTCTGAAAGGACCAATATTTTATATTGGAAAAAGCTATATATGTATTAAGGCAATTTGCCTGGATTTGTGGGAGGTGCTTGGTATCCACTCCTAACCTACAACGCTTACCTTGCTCCTTACCGTTCGAGGTCAGCGTTGAATGAGGATCCACTTCCAGGTTCTCTCAGACGCCATCTTGGTTTCAGTATCCACAAGGTTTTACCGCGGCAAGCTGTGTCCAGGAATCTTGTTTAGGCCTTTTCCGTCTGCCCAGCTTCTTCTGACCCCAGTCTTCGTCGTAGATCGCGTCCCAGGGACTCCTAAACCGTAAGTCAGACCTACCTGTCACACCAGGATCGGTTCCCACGGCGTACGGTACAGCACGGGTCCTCGCTTTACGGTTTTCCCTGATATGTCACAAAATTGTACAAGCCGTTCGCGGTTTTCATTCATACGGTCATTCGGCTAAGCGGTATATTTGTATTAATAGTCATTTCGCATATAACTATTCTATGTCATTGGAACAGATTATCATTTCGGTTGTTTTGCCGTTCGGCACTTTTTTCATGTTACGCTCAAACACGCTTGCGGTTCGCATAAAATTCATACGTTTAAACTATTCGTTCCAACTTCTGTTTTCCCTCACATTGGGTTTCGGTTTTTATTTCTATGTATTACGCATAATCCTTTGGTGGATTACATTCACCATTTCATGTATATAACATTCGGTTAACGAATTGCTGGTTTAAATAGACAGATTATTTCTATTACTGTTTAAAGGTATCAGTATTGTATTATGTCCATACAAATACCAAGCTCACTTATCTGTATGGATCATTTTTTTTTTTTTAATTCTTTATTTTTAGTGTGCATAAGTTTGACAGACATGCATATTTGGCCACGATAACAAGTAAAGGCATTTCACATTGCATTATTCTGTGGCATATAAGAGAATTGCACATTTTTATGTAACTAACAGGTTAATACAGGTTATGTCAGAGAATGGTCAGACAATAAGCGTGATCGAAAGTAGTGTAGGCTGACATTAACTTTGTCAAC